GAAATAGAGAACTGTAACAACACTATAAGCCTGTTGGACCTAAGAGGCATGTATAAAATTTCAATCACAACAGACAATACACATTTTTCCAAAATGGACACGGAACAATTTCCCAGAGAGACCATGTCAGTCCACAACACAAGTCTTAATAAATTTAAAAAGACTGTAATCATACATAATATCTTTTCTGGTCACAATAGAATAAAACTAGAATTTCTATCAATAAAAGAAGGAAAACTAGAAAACTCACAAATATAAGGAAATTAAACAACACATATTTTAAACAACCTATAGGTCAAAGAAGAAATCACAAGAGAAATTAGAAAACACCTTGAGAAATATGAAAATGAAAACACAACATACCAAAACTTATAGGATGCAAAGAAAGCAGTGCTAAGAGGGAAATTTATAGCTTTAATGACACACTTATAAAAAGATCTCAAATTAGTAATCTAATTTTATGCATTCAGGAACTAGAAAAATAAGAGCATACTAAATCCAAAACTAGCAGAAGGAAGTAAATAATAAAGATTATAGAAGAGATAAATTAAATAGCGAATAGAAAACAGTAGAGAAAATCAGTAAAATCAAAAGTTGGTTCTTTGAAAAGATCAATAAAATTTACAAACATTTAGCTAGATTGACTTTGGGGGGAAAAAAAGACTCAAATTACTAAAACCACAAAAGAAAGAGGGGACATCACTACCAATTTTACAGAAACGAGGATTATAAAAGAATATTATAAACAACTGTATGCCACCGAACTGGATAACCTAGATAAAATGGGCAAATTTGAAGAACACACAATCTACAAATACTGAATCATTAAGAAATAGAAAATCTGAATAGACTTAAAACTAGTAAGGAGATTGAATCAGTAATCAAAACCCTTCCAACAAAGAAAATCCCTGAATCCAGTGGCTTCACTGGTGAATATTACAAATCACTTAAAGATGAATTAACACCAATCCTTCTCAAACTCTTCCAAAAAACTGAAGAGTACAGAATATTTACTAACTTATTCTATGAGCCTAGTATTATCCTGAGAGCAAAGACAAAGACAGAAGCAAAAGAAACTACAGACAAATATCTCTTACAAATATTCATGCAAGAATCTTCAACAAATATAAGCAAACCAAATTCAGCAATATACTAAAAGGATTATAAACCATGACCAAGTGGGATTTATTCCCAAAATTAAAGAGTGGTTCATCATATGAAAATCAATGTGGGGCAGCTGGGTGGCTCAGTCGTTAAGCGTCTGCCTTCCGCTCAGGTCATGATCCCAGGGTCCTGGGATCGAGCCCCACATCGGGCTCCCTCCTCCGCGGGAGGCCTGCTTCTCCTTCTCCCACTCCCCCTGCTTGTGTTCCCTCTCTCGCTATAGCTCTCTGTCAGATAAATAAATAAAATCTTTAAAAAAAGAAAATCAATCAATGTAATACACAGCATTAATAGAATGAAGGACCAAAAAACACATGATTATTCTAAATTGATACAGAAAAAGCATCAATGACAAAAAACAGTCAATAAACTAGAAATAAAAAGAAACTTCTTCAACATTATAAAGCAATATATGGAAAACCCACAGCTAATATCACACTCAATGGAACAAGTCAGGGATGCCAGTTTGTAGCACTTCTATTCAACATAGTAGTTTAAGTTCTTAGCCAGAATAATCATGCAAAAAAAGGAAATAAAAGACATCCAAATTGGAAGGAAGAACTAAAATGATCTCTGTTTGCAGATGACATGATCTTTTTTAAATAGAAAGTGAAAGATTTCCCACCCTCCACCCCCACCAAATATAAAGCAAATAAATTCAGAAAAGTTTCAGGATACAAAATCAATACAGAAAAATCAGTTCCCTTTCCATACAGCAGCAATGAACAACTGGAAAAGGAAGTTAAGAAAACAATCCATTTGCAACAGCATTGAAAAATACTTAGAAATAAATTTAAACAAGAAGGTTAAAGAGTTGTACCCTGAAACTACTAAACATTGCTGAAAACAATTAAAAGAGACATAAATAAATGGAAAGACATCCCATGTTCATAGGTTGGAAGAATTAATATAGTTAGTAATACTACCAGAACAGATTCAATGCAATCCCTATGAAAATCCCACCAGCATTCTTTTGCAGAAAAAGAAAAAAATCCATCCTAAAATGCATTAGGAATCCTGAGGAACTCCAAATAGCCAAAACAATCTTGAAAAAGAACAAAATTAGAGGACCTACACTTCCTGATTTTAAAACTTACTGCAAAGTTAAAGTAACTGAAACAGTAATGGCATAAGGATAGATTTATAGACTAAGGAAACAACAGAAAGTCCACACATAAGTCCTTGCATATGTGGTTAATGGGTTTTCAACAAGGGTACCAAGACCATTCCATGAAGAAAAGAGAATCTTTTCAACAAATGATGCTGGGAAAATTGGGTATCCACATGCAAAAAAAATAAAATTCTGATAACAAATATTGGGACAAATATTGTATGATTCCATTTACATGAGGTACCTAGGACAGACAAATTCTTACAGACAGAAAGTAGAATAGAGATTACCAGGGAGCGGATCTGGGGAGTTACTATTTCATAGTTAGAGATTTCCTGTTCGGGATGATGCAAAAGTTGTAGAAACGGACAGTGTTTATGGTTGCATAAATTGTGAATATATGGTTAAAATGATAAATTTTATGTTATGCGTGTTTCACAATTTTTAAAAAAGAAATAACAATAAATATCAGAGGAATAGGTCAAAGGTTTGAGAAGCCTCTGAGGTATAGAACTGAAAAATGAGAAATGAGACAGGGGACTGCTGTTTGTCATTATAATCATTTTTTATTATTTAATTATGTATAAGAATATAAGAATTGATAAATTTTTAAAGCTTAAAAAATTATAATAATTCAAAAATTAAAAACTGGGTAATTTTTTGATATGTTTTATAGAGAATTAATATCCACGTGATCTATTAGAAGTCCATACAAATCAATAAAGAAGATAAATACAGTATAAAGACAATAAATTAGAAAATAAGAAATAAGCAAAACCCCAGAGAACTATCAATCCCACTCTTAATAAAAGAAATAAACTAAAACTGAAACAAAATACTTTTGAAAGATTATTTTCTGTATCTTCCCATTCTTTTTTAGTTGAAAAGGAAGAAGAAAAATAATCCATTTGTTAAGCCAATTTATAAATCTGCTAAAAAGTATACTTAAATGTTAGTCTCCGTAGTCACCCAATAATTAATCATCAGTTTCAGTAACTATTAAATTAATACTGTGCTAAATCTATTCCAAAAATTAAATTTAGGAGGTAATATTACTTCTACATTTAGTTACTTTTCTTCTACCAAGTGATATATTTCACCTAAATTTATTAAGAATTAGAACATATTTTTAAACTACTGAGACTGGTTAACGAAAATTTTACTATTTGAGAAAACTGGTACCAAAAAATATGGTTCATTATTCAACAGTCTGTTTTTTCACTGTAACTTTTTCAATGGCAATTATATTATTGTCAATTTTAATAACTTTATATTAGATCTGGTTTTCCTTTATATACACAAAAAAACAGAAACAAACCAAAAAAAAATACCAAATTGCTTCCTAGCATATAAAGAATCATTCTTACCATGTCTTTGAAGCTTAGCAGAATATGAAATTTTTCATTTACTCAACTGGACATTGCTAGCTCACTTTCTGGGATTGTGACTGAGATTTTGCTTTTCTTTAGTTCCAAGCTTAATTATTAGTTTTCCTTAACATAGCTGTTTGGTGTAAATGTACACATTCTGGGATAAATACTGTTTTCTATAAAGAATTTTTAAGATGTTTATGTCCATTTTATTTTCAGATGTTCTTGCGAAAAAAAAAACTTATCTGATTAAATTTCTTCTGAAAGCAATTCTTCCAATTTATCTATAGGAAGACTAATATACTGTCTCTGCTAACAAAGTATGTCTTTGTCCCCTTCGGGCTGCTATATCAAAATACCTCAAGCTGGATAGCTTTTAAACATAAGAAATTTATCACATACAGTCCTGGAGGCTGGAAAATCCAAGATCAAGGCACCAGTGTGGTCACATTTGATGAGGGCCCACTTCCTGGTTCATAGCTGGCACCTTTTCTCTACGTCCTCACATGGTGGAAGAGGCAAGGTTTCTCTCAGGTCCTCTTTTATAAACATTAATCCTATTCATAAGAATTCTGACCTCATGACTTAAGCATCTCCCAAAGGCCCCACTCCTAATAGCACCATCTTTAGGGGTTAGGATTTCAACATATGAAATTTTGGAGGACACATTCATACACAGCAGTATGTATATAAATGAAAAGACAGTAGGAGAGCCAAAAGTTATCAGTATTGCCATTCAAATATATTACTTATTTATGCTACATATATAATTTCCTATGAGAAAAGAAAAGGGAATACCACTTCTCTACATTGGAATTTAGCTTGGGTTTTGATAAAGTATGATTTTACTCTCAGGAATTATATGTGGTTTTAATGCTTTAAATATTAGGACTAAAATACACTATATAACTCAATTTTACACAAGAAAATATTATTAAAAATCAGAAAGACTTTAAAAGCAAGAAAAATATCTAGCCAAATACATGAAGTAAAAAAGATGAGTAACAAAGGAAGTCTGACTTTAGATTCAGATTAATAAAACATTCAAAAGTATAATTTATGAAAGTGAAGAATGTTTTCCTTCAACTATGAAAAAATCAAGCTATCCCTAAGAATAAAAATAATGTACACATTAACAGTCCTTATATAACTAACATTGCTTGGAGACGTTTAATCTCTTACAGTTTCAAGTAAAACAGTGATTGAACAATCAATATCTTAATCAATAAATAAGTAAAATTATATATGATGTTTAGAAAACTGTAATTACTCTGTTGCTTCTGAACTCTGGAAGCTTATCCCAGTAATCCCATGTGATTTTTTAAAGGCAAAAGAAACAATAAATATTGTCTTACCTTGTAAGATGGCAAGAAACACAAAATTCCTTGGCTCACAGTCTGACACACAGATAACAAAAGTTCGCCCACTTCATCCTGGAACTCAAATGTTTCTGTGTGCTGGAAGGTAGCACAGAGATTCCGACCCTTGGGGCCTGACCCAATGGTGCCCACCCAAACCTAGAATATAAATATGTCATATTAGAGTCATGCCTAAACTACACAGGCAAATTAGCATTTAGTTGAGAAATCAACTAAACAAAAAAGAGGGTGGTGATTCCACCATAATTATATGTATGTCAAAAGAAGATCAAGCAATAAGTTTAGAGGAAATTTATTTTTAAATTGGTGGTGTTTTTCTATTATCATTAATTAATTATATATAATTATATATAAATCTAATTTATAGAAATTTAAGCAGACCAATAGCTTTGCAAAATTAAACATGTAGTAAAATTCTGTGGGATGTGAACAAATGAAATGAGTAAATCAGAAATGATTCCAAACTCTTAGAGATGAAGGCTTATACAATCTGCTGTAGATAAGCCTCTGAGACTCAACTATGACAACAGCTAAGTATAATCAATATGAATATACTTAACAAATTTACAAATTCACTGATGGTCAAAGATCTATAGTCCTAAAATATCAGACCCACCAAATTTTAGTTATTTGCAATTGCTCTACATTCATACAGACCTAGCTTTAGTATACTTAATTTGACTAAGAGAAAGAAAAAACTTTATTAGTAATTTAAAGACAATAAAGACTTCAGATGGTTGAAAAATGTAATAGCCCTATATTTTCAAATGATATATGAGATTGAGGTACATTTTCCAAGATGACATCTGATGGACACCAATTTAACCAACTTTTAACTAAATGATTAACTAGTAATAAGACAAACTGATATTAAGTGTTTCCTGACATGAGGCAATGGAAAGTAACAATATCACCTATATAGTAATGTTACCAAACTGTTTAACCTGAATCTATCAAGAAGAAACAATCATATAAAATCCAGATTATGACATTCCTCAAGATAACTGCTGACTTGAATTCTATAAAAATGTCATGAAAGATAAACAAAGACAAAAAAATAAGTCAAAAAAAGTTTTAAGACTAGAAATATGAAAGTCAAGTGTAACATGTAATACTTGATTGGATCTTGGACCAAGAATAAAAATAAACAGGATAAAGACATTTTGGAAATAACTGGAGAAATATAAATATTGACACTATTGTACCAATATTACATTTCTTGGGTATGATTATGGTATTGTAGTTATGTAGGATTATGTACTTGTTCTTTTTTTTTTTTTTTTAAAGATTTTATTTATTTATTTGAGAGAGAGAATGAGAGAGAGAGAGCAGGAGAGTGGGGAGGGTCAGAGGGAGAAGCAGACTCCCTGCCGAGCAGGGAGCCCAATGCGGGACTCGATCCAGGGACTCCAGGATCATGACCTGAGCCGAAGGCAGTCGCTTAACCAACTGAGCCAGCCAGGCGCCCTGTACTTGTTCTTTTTTTAAATGATTATTTATTTAAGAAAGGTGGGGGCGGAGAGGCAGAGAGAGAGGGAAAGAATCCCCAAGGCAAGCCCCACATGGGGCTCCGCACTGGTGTGTGGAAGCCTGCTTGGGATTCTCTCTCTTCCTTTCCCTCTGCTCCGCCCCCCTCCCTCTCTAAAAAAAATAAAAATTTTTTTTTTGTAACAGAAAAACTCAAAAAAGCCAAGAGTTTACTCTTTAAAAAGATTAATAAAAGCAATGAACTCAAACCGACACTGATAAAAAAAACCACAAAACCAGAAAATACAAATTAACAATATCAGGTAGGGATAAGAACACGACTACAGAGCTCACAGAGGTTAAAAAGATAACAAAACACTTCACAATAAAAAATAAATTTTTAAAGTTGGGGGCAAATATTATAATAGAATTCAACTGAACAATCAGCATTTTTACTATTATAATCCATTGGCATTACAGGTTAAATGGGCTTTTGTGTACTAGACTGAGAATATAGAGACTATAACAACATCCTTATGAGAAAATATATGTTAAATTTATTAATAACTTCCCATATTTATTTGAACCTCTAAAAAAGGCAACTTAAAACTATAGGACATAGAGTGCACTTGTGGTGAGCACCAGGTATTCTATTAAGTCCTGAATCATTAAATTGTACACCTGAAACAAATATTACACTGCATGTTAACTAAATGGAATTTAAATAAAAACTTTTTAAAAATGTGGAACATACATTTTTCCTTCACTATTGTTTATAGCAATGTCTCTAAACAGGAGCACTCTGGCACTATAGAAAGCACAATTCTTAGTTATATAGGAGCTTAACATTCAAGGCCCCCACCTACTAACTATCCGTAGTTCCTCCCAAGTAATCGTGAAAACCAAAAATGTCCCTACACATACACCTTGGTTGAAAACAATAGCTTTATGGGCGCCTGGGTGGCCCAGTCAGTTGAGCATCTGACTTCAGCTCAGGTCATGATCTCAGGGTCCTGGAATCAGGCTCTGTGCTCAGCAGGGAGTCAGCTTGTCCCTCTCCCTCTCCCTCTGCCCCTTCCCCCATTCATGCTCTCTCTCAAATAAATAAATAAAATCCTTAAAAAAAGAAAAAGAAAACAACAGCTTTATAAAGAACTAGAATTGTTTTAGGTGCACAGGTGATGCTAAGTATGCAGCTAGCCACTTCAAATTACTTCATAAAAAGAAGCAGAAGGTAGATTGACAAATGACAATTCAAATGTTCCTAGGAAATTAAGTAACATTTCTATGGTATTATTATAAAACATTAAAAACTTAAGTCATAGGACTCATGAGAGTACTTTTATTTTTTTATTTTTATTTTTTTAAAAGATTTTATTTGTCAGAGAGATAGAGAGAGAGAGAGAGAGAGAGAGAGAGAAAGCATGCACACACAAGCAGGGGGAGCAGCAGAGAGAGAAGCAGGCTTCCCGCCGAGCAGGGAGCCCGACGCGGGACTCCATCCCGGGACTCCAGGATCATGACCTGAGCCAAAGGCAGTCGCTTAACCAACTGAGCCATCCAGGCGCCCATGAAAGTACTTTTAATTCATTTCAGATATTCAAACACATGCTGAACCCTTGCTAATTAACTAATGCCCAGTATTAATCCAGGTGCACTGGAAGAATGGGGACATAAAAAGAAGAATAAGGATATACCACTGTCTGTTGGAAAAGAGAAACAAATGAACAAATAATTATGCAATAGGAACTATGGTAAAGACATTAAATTTTTGTTTTGTTTTTAATTCTCATTTTTAAAAGCCTAAAATATACTTAAATGAAGAAACTGCAATATAAACTTTGCATCTAAAGTGTGTATTTTTACTCAATGAGCTGAAGGAATGCTATTTATCAGTATTTCCTTTTGTTGACACTGCCAAACAGCTGACAGATTTTTCTTTTATTCTAAAGCTAAAATGTTGAATTTCCTATCAGGATCTGTTAGTATTTCAGGTACCTTTTAATTTTCTTCATATAAAATTATATTGAGGTAAAAAGACTGAGAGCCTTCAAAAAACATACTAACCTGTGAGTTATTAATGACATGATTAGCCTCCAGTTGGATAGTGAATGTAACACCAAGTTCTGATGAGAAGGATTTCATTGGTGATAATGTCCCAGATGTCAAAACAATTGTCCAAACTTTGCCATTAATATCTGAAAAGGCCTAAAAGGAAACAATATTAGATACATCTTTACAAGAGTAAAACATATTTAATTGTTGGTATTGAGCAAGATGACAGAATTTTCATTTACAACATGACAGGCTTACCACAGCTGGATTTAAGCACCAAAAGTTTAGCACATGAACTGCAATTTTCTGTCTTGAACGTTTCTTATTTTTTGCCAGAGCAAAGAATCCATCTTTATCTGAAGTATCAATCTGATTTATCCAAGAATAAGTCTGTTGAATAGCAACTTTATAATCATCGGCAAATCTGGATGAAAATAAAATGGCAATTAAATGGCAAAACTTTATGAAACACATAATGTCCCAGCTACATACAATATAAAAACTGATTAAACTAAAACTAAATCGATAGTCCTGGTATCTTCTCACTCAAAGATACCATCTTCCCCACCAACAACCCCCACCGCTAATTAAATTCAGTAATTCTGATAGAAAATGAGCCATTAAATCTTACAATCAACTTCCTCTTACAGAGGTTAGATATTATCTAAATATCCATCCTTTGCCATTTCCCATCCCTATGTTCGAACAATATATTAATCATGGCAAAACCAGAATTAAAATCCAGGTCTCCTAACTCCTAGTCTAGAGCTCTTTGCACTCTGTATTACATTATCAGTCACAAAATAGATAACAGTTTTCCTTAAAGAAGCTAAACAGTGCATTATACTTTTTTATTACATGAGAAAATGGAAAGAATTTTTACTGAAAGTTTTAAAAGTTTAGAAAACTAATTATAAATTTTAAGTTCCTTTAAAATATGGGTTTCAGTCTTCATTAACTTTTAATGAAGGTATTGATCTCTGTGATCCCATCCAACTTATAATTTCTTTCAATAAGAGGCTATGCACACACACACAAAAAAGGCTATGCACATTTCAGCTTAAAGAGAATAAAATATGGTGTTCTCCACCATGTCCTCACAATAATACTGACTGTTAATTTCACCCCTAGAGAGATCAGATCTCAAAGTTCAAGTCAGGGACCCTATAATCCTTGGAGAGAATTTTATAAAAGTACTGAGAGCTATAAACTATAAAACATTTAGAGGAAAACATAGGGGAAAATCTTAATGATACCAGATTTGGCCATATTTTTTGTATATACCAAAGGCACAAGCAACAAAAGAAAAAATAAACTGGACTTCATCAAAATTAAAAAACTTTGGGGCGCCTGGGTGGCTCAGATGGTTAAGCGTCTGCCTTCGGCTTAGCTCATGATCCCAGTGTCCTGGGATTGAGCCCCGCATCGGGCTCCCTGCTCCGCAGGAAGCCTGCTTCTCCCTCCTCCACTACCCCTGCTTGTGTTCCCTCTCTCGCCGTGTCTCCCTCTGTCATATAAAAAAAAACAAAAAAACAAAAAAACAAAAAAACTTTTGTGCATCCAAGGACACTATCAGAGAGTGAGAAGACAACCCACACAATGGGATATATGTGTAAAACATATATCTGATACAGGATTAATATGCAGAATATATAGGTAACTTTTACAACTCAACAACAACAAAAAACAACCCAATTCAAAAATGGGCATAGGATGTGAACAGACATTACTCCAATGAAGACATGCAAATGGACAATAAGAACATGAAAAGATGCTCAACATCACTAGCCATTAGTGGAGGGTGGAGTAAATAAAAACTATAAGCAAATACCACTTTATACCCATTAGGATGGCTATTATCCCAAAAGTGAGAAACAACAAGTACTGGCAAGGATGTCGAGCAACTAGAAATGTTGTGCATTAACTATGGGAATTTAAAATGGGAAAATCGTATGTTGATTCCTCAAAAAGTTAAATACAGAATTACCATATGACCCTGAAATTCCACACTGCAGGTATTTACCTGGAGGAATTGAAAGCAGGGACTCAAACAGATACTTGTGGTTTTTTTGTTTGTTTGTTTTTTAAAGGATTTTATTTATTTATTTGACAGAGACAGAGACAGCGAGAGCAGGAACACAAGCAGCGGGAGTGGGAGAGGGAGAGCAGGCTTCCCGCCGAGGAGGGAACCCGATGTGGGACTCGATCCCAGGACCCTGGGATCATGACCTGAGCCAAAGGCAGACACTTAACAACTGAGCCACCCGGGCGCCCCTCAAACAAATACTTGTATATCAATATTCACTGTAGCATTATTCCCAATAGACAAAAGGTGAAAATAATCCAAATGTCCATCAACATAACAAAGGATAAACAAACTATGGTACATACATACAATGGAATCTGATAATATTCAGCCATAAAACAGAATGGTATTCTGATATATATTACAAAAACATGGGTGAACCTTGAAAACATTGTACTAAGTTAAATAAGCCAGATGCAAAAGAACGAATATTGTATGATTCCACTTTATAGGAGATAACCTAAAAGGGGCAAACCCATGGAGATGAAAGAGAAGAGGTTACCAGAGGTTATGAGAAGAAGGAAATGGGAACTATTGTTTCATGGGTATAGAGCTCCTGAAAAAGTTCTGTGAATGGATAGTAGTGATGTGAATATACTTAATGCTACTAAAATGTACACTTAAAATGGTTAAAAGAGTAAATTTTATGTTATGTATGTATGTTTTACCATAAAAAAATTGGAACCAGATAGTATTATAATTTAATAAGGGATTGAGTGAGGGGAGTTAACTGTTTCTCATTTTCCACGTTTCACTAAATAGAGGCTTTATGTAATAAGAGACTTTCTGACACTGGAAGAAACATATCTAAAACTGTCCTTAAAACCTAAATGTTTAAGTTCAGTCACATACAATTTAATGTATAATTATAATATATAATACATTGTATAAATTATACAATATAAATTATAAAAATAAATTTATACAAACTTAATACTGCATTAATAAAATGTATTTAAAATATATCTACTTTGGGGCGCCTGGGTGGCTCAGTCGTTAAGCGTCTGCCTTCGGCTCAGGTCATGATCCCAGGGTCCTGGGATCGAGTCCCACATCGGGCTCCCTGCTCTGCGGGAAGCCTGCTTCTCCCTCTCCCACTCCCCCTGCTTGTGTTTCTGCTCTCGCTATGTCTCTCTCTGTCAAATAAATAAATAAAATCTTTAAAAAAAATATATATATATATATATACTTTTTTATTTTAATACTCATTTTCATTAATAAAGACTAATTCCAATATATCTAAGTCTGTACCAACAAGTAAGAACAATATTTTATACCACTTCTTTACAATGAGCCTAGGTACTTGCACAACTTAAACACATGCTAGCACCCAATAAAACTAATATTTTTAAGAGGGAAAATACAAATCATATGTATTTACTAACCTGCTATTTTGCCTAAAAAGATAGTCAAACACCATAAAAAGTCCTTTGAGCATTATTTGAGTTGAAGCACTAATAATCGGTACTACTCTTGCCTCCTCTTTACCATGCATTGGTAAGACTTTTTCTTCTTTTTGAAGGACAGCAGAAAAATGTCCCTATAAGAAATTACCATTATTAAGTACATTGCAGGAAATGGGAAGAAGAGGAAAACAAACTTCTTAAAATTATAAAACCCAAATGAAATATACACTGAAATTTTAGGCAAACACTATTAATATACAAGTACTATGTTTTAAATTCCCACATAGTCCCTAGAACCCTACACAAAAGTACATCTTTAAGTCTCTTAAACCACCAAACATGCATTTTACTTACCCATTCTCACAATAGTTATATCATAATTTTTAACTAAGTCAATATTTTTAACAAAATTGTGATTATATATACATTGTTATAGCTAACCCATATATAGTATACTATATTTCCTTTCTTTTCTAACATTTACTTTTTATTTACTTTTTCCTAGTGTTTATGCTTAAATCAACCTTTTTAATAAATTATCACTTGTTAAAAATGATAGATAGATAGACAGACAGATTCCCATATATTCCTAAATTCTCTTCAGAGTCAAAGACACTTTAACAGTAAGTTATACATTTAGGAGGTTCATTACTTCTTCAGGCAATCAGGGTATTATTTAGTGCCCTTCAAAAGTAATGAACTAGGCACGCCTGGCTGGCTCAGTTGGTACAGCCTGCAACCTTTGATCTCAAGGTTGTGAGTTCAAGCCCTATGTTGGGCATGGAGCTTACTTTTAAAAACAAACAAACAAAAGGACTAAATAAAAACGCACCAAATGGTTTTTCCAAAGAGCTTACAAAGGTTGATATGCCACCTAAATGCCTGAATTACTCCCAGGTAGTATTCCAATGATGAGAATAATATGACTGTATGACAAGCAAAAAATTTTAAACGACTCAAGGAAACAATACATGCTAAATACAAATGTATACTAACTGGCTCATTTGTTTTCATGTGGCTCGTAAGTTTTAATAAATGTTCTGAAGTCAGATAGCAGTAACAGTTGCATAATTCTGTGACTATACTAAAAACTACTGAATTGTATACTATAAGAGGGTAAATTTTATGGCATGTGAATTAAATTTCAATCAAGCTGTTAATAAAAAAAAATGCTACACTGCAATTAAAAAGCATGTGAAAGGGGCATCTGGGTGACATTACTAAATGATGCAAGACTAGTAATATAGTCTCTTTTAAGTAGCAATAAGACCAGGATGTTTCACTGCCTGTGATAAACAATGCACTGGAAGTTTACGCCAACAAAGAAATAAATAGAATGTGATGGAGTTGGAAAGAAAGAAAATAGTCATTACTTATAAACAGTATAATTACACGGAAAATTTAAGAATCCATAGACAAACCTGTAAGATAGTTCAGCAAAGTGATTGGTTACAAGATAAATAAAAATCCACTACCATTTTTATACAGCAATAACAACTAGAAAATGCAATTTTTTAAAGGTACCATTTGAAAAAGAAACAGAAACATTAACTTACTTAGGAATAAATCTATCCAAAACACCTAAGACTTTTAAAAATAAAATCATAAAATTTTATTAACAGATATAGGATATAATAAATGAAGAACTTTATACATGTTGTTTGTGAATGGGAAAACTCCCGTATTATAAATACATCAATTCTTCCTAAATTCAGTGAAATTCCAACCAAAATTCCAACAGAATTTTTCATGGAAGTTTACAAGCTAATTCTAAAATTCAGCCAAGATCATCCCAAAGGAAAAGAACAAAGTGAGGAAATATGCACTACCATGTATCAGCATTTTTCTCATGCTAGAGTAATTAACAAATACGAGTTTAGGTCACAGAACAAAGTCCAGAAATTCAAAAATAAATGAAAATCAGGTATGTGGCAGGAATGTCATTACAAATCAGAAAGAAATGAACTATTTAGTAAATGATGCTGAGAAGATGATCCATGCAGGAAATAAAATGGATTCCCAACCTCACAATGTAAACAAAAATGAATCTTCAGCTGATTTTATCAAGGAAAAAATAACAATTTTAGAAAATGTAGCACAAGATAAGGAAAGACTGCTTAAACTCAAATACAGCTCATAAAAGAAAAAACACTAATAAATTTTAATGCACTAAAATAAACTTCCAGAAAAATACTCCATAAATAAACCACAAGACACAAGAATATACATGCAATGCAATAAGCAACAAAGAATTAGTATTTAGAATATATAAAGGAAATAGCAAAATACACAAAGATATATTTACAAGGATGTTCATAACAGAATTGTTTCTTATTCTGGGTAAGCTGGCAACAACCTAGATTTCAAATGCCAGATTAATCAAGTTATTTAGAATATGTGCACTCACAAAAATGCTACACTGCAATTAAAAAGCATGTGAAAGGGGCATCTGGGTGGCTCGGTCAGTTAAGGCTCCAATTCTTGGTTTGGGCTCAGGTTGTGATCTCAGGGTCGTGATTTGGGAGTCCTGCATGGGCTCCATGCTCAGTGCAGAATCTGCTTAAGATTCCTTCTCCCTCTGCTCTCTCCCCCACCAGCCCCCATTCTCTCTAATAAATAAATATTTAAAAGAGTAAAAATCATGTGAAAGAATCTATTAAAATAGTACTTATAGGGGCACCGGGGTGGTTTAGTCATTTAAGCACCCCACTCTTGATCTCAGGGTCCTGTGACCAAGCTCCTGACAGGCTCCATGATCAGTGGGGAGTAGGCTTGAAATTCTCTCCCTCTCTCCCTCCCCACTGCTGGCACATGCACTCTCTCTGAAATAAATAAATCTTAAAAAAAAAAAAAGTACTCATAACATTAAATGAAAAGAGGCTGCAAAGAAATATGCATCATATCAGAAATCTATGTCAGGTAAATATATGCATAAAATAAAATACGTGGATATAAATCTAAAAGTTAATAATGATCATCTTTAAGTTGATGAGTTTTCTTTTTTCTTTGTGCCTTTCGTATTTTCTAAGTTTTTTTCCTTTGACATATATTTATTTGTACATTTTTATTAAATTATAATATATATAATGCACTAGTCATAAGTATACAGCTCACCTTTAAAATGTAAAGTTTATGTAAAAAATCAGGGAAAGGTGTCATAATATGGACAATACTTACACTACTACATTGCATTTTAAAAAATGCAGGGCAAAAATTATAAGTATAATCCAATTAAAATACATTTTCAATATTCATATGCCCAGAATGCTAGTGGTGATCATGGTAGCCATAGTTCCTGTTTTGGTTCAAAAACCTCTTTAAGTCCATATGAGGAAAATTACAAAACTCTGATAAAAGAAATCAAAGATCCAAACAAATGGAGAGATACTCTCTGTTCATAGATAGGAAGATTCAATATTGTTGAGAAATTCTTCTTCTTGTTGTTACTTCTTCCTAGTTTGATCTATAGATTTAATGCCATCTCAATCAAAATTCCAGAAAGTTACTTTGTGGATATTGACAAACTGAGTCTAAAGTTAATTTGGAAAGAAACAAACCAGAATAATCAACACAATACAGAAGAAAGTCAGAGAACTGATACTACCCGACTTCAAGACTTACTATAAATCTATAGTAATCAAGATAGTGTGGTATTAGTAAAGGAACAGGAAAATCAATCAATGGAACAGAATAAAGAGCCTAAAAATGGACCCACAAGGATATAGTCAACTATCTTTAACAAAGGAGCAAAGACAATCCAATGGAGAAGGGTGATCTTTTCAACAAATGGTGATAGAATAATTGGACATCTACATGCAAAGAAATGAATCTGGATACAGACCTTCTGTCTTTCACAAAAATTAACTAAAAATGGACCACAGACCTAAATGTAAAATGAAAACTCTAAAACTTTTAGAAGACAGAAGAAAATCTAAGTGACTTCAGGTTCCGTGGTGAGTTTTTAGACACAACACCTAAAGCATGGTCCATTGAAGAAAAAACTGGTAAGCTGAACTTTGTCAAAACTAAAAACTTATGTTCCATAAAAGACACTGTTAACAGAATGAAAAGAAAAGTCACGGACTGGAAGAATCTATCTGCAAACACGTATCTGATGAAGGACTTTTATGCCAAATATACAGAGAACACGTAAAACTCAACAACAGGAAGACAAAGAACCCAACTGAAGAGTAGGCAAAAGATTTGAAGAGACATCTCACAAATAAGATATATAGATGGCAAAGGAACTTGTGAAAAGATGTTCCACATCAAATGTCATTAGGGAATTGTAAATTAAAATAATAAGATACTACTACTTATCTATTAGAATGGTTGGTATTCAAAACCCTGACAATTCCAAATGTTGGCAAGGATGGATAATAACAGGAACCTTCATTCACTGACGATGGGAATGTAAAACAGCACAGCCACTTTGGAAGACAGCAGTTTCTTGCACAGCTAAAAACAGTCTTACCATACGATACAGTAATTGTACTAAGTATTTACCCAAATAGAAGAAAGCACAACCACACAAAAATATACACACAAATGTTTATAACAAATTTATTCAGAACTGCCCAAACGTGGAAGCCACCAGTATGTCCTATAGTAGGTGAAAGGATAAAGAAATGGTGTGCATACATACAATGAATATTGTTTAGCAATAAAAAGAAATAAGCCATCAAGCCATAAAAAGACATGAGGGGAGGGCGGAGCAAGGTGGTGGAGGAGTAGGAGACCTGGATTTCATCTGGTCTCAGGAATTCAGCTGGATAGGGACCAACCATTCTCAACACCTACAAACCCAACAGGAGATCGAAGAAAAGAATAGCAACAATTCTCTGAACAGAAAAGCGACCACTTTCTGGAAGGTAGGACGTGCGGAGAAGGTGAATCCGAGGCGATATTTGGGAGGATAGACGGTGGGGGAGGGGGCCTCCGACGGCCGCTTCTGGCAAGTGATAGAGCCGCGGAGCACAAATGTGGAACTTTTAGAAGTCGGCTCCGCTGAGGGACATCACTCCAGTGGATAAGAGGGGGTTGGAAACCTCGTGGGACAGAGTGGTCTCAGGACCCTCAGGGTCACAGAAAGACCGGGGGTGCCTGAGTGCGGCAGAGCTCCCAGGTATCGGAG